ATAGGAATATCGAACGGAAGACCAGCAGCTTGTGTAGACAGGTGGTTGGAAAATGGTAGAATTTCCCTGAATGGATAATCCTTGTGACCGAAAGTCTATTAATAAAGGCAGCTGTAAGGCAGAGTCACCACTGATAGTTTTACAAAGTAAATCATTGAACTATCAAAACATTTTTGTATTTTTCATGATATTATTTAATTTATATTAAAAACAATTTCGACAATTATAGGAATAATTACAAATTTTACAAGTTTGAAATAGTTTTTTTATTTTTCTTTGTTTAATGTAGTCATGTTCGTCGTATTATTGTTTTCGATTTTGGCGCATATGGAAAATAACGCAAAGATTACACGCTACATATGGATTCCGTATTTGTCGAAAAACACACTTGTCGAGGTAAACAAACATATAAACTGATAAAATCGTTATTGATTCGGAGAAACATCGATGTAATACGAAACCCTAGTGGAATAATTTGCCTAATGCGTTTGACTCGATATTAATAATAAACATGCATTAAATATATGAATTGCTTTCGCCATCGGACATCATGGAATATCGATTGATTTAAATCTATTAATAGATGTTAATTGGAAATTATGGGACTGGTATGAACGAGACAATGGGGACAATTATATATTTGGAATGACACAGATTCCCTGTGCGCATAAAATATACTGCACCGAGCCCAGCCTATCCCAAGTTGCTTACAACCACGTACAATATTAATTTACGAATTTCAGCGCAGATTGATAAAGTTTGTAATCCAAGTACATAAACGTACAAATTTAAAACAAACAGGTCAGGGATAGATAATCGACATTGTTCATTATGCAACTGTCGTATAGTGTGGAATATGAGAGAAAAAAAAAACCGGTTTTATTAATTTTATACCCGACGACATGCGACACGAGTTTATCAATAAGGTTACACCTTTCCTCACAGATAACTATCTGTTTTAATCATGTGATGTTTCTTAATTAATTTTAATCAAATTTAATTACAAATTTTCGCAATGCGAATTATCTTTGTTGAACCTCGCTGAAGGCGATCCGAGTAGCTGTAACGTTTTTACAACAAACAATATACAAATCGCAACTGCATAAACAAAATAATTACAGTTGCCATGTACTCAGAAAAGCAAATAAACTGCGGTTATTTTCGTGAAAGCCTGACTCATCTGACTCCTGACACACGACAATTAAACCATTATTATTACTTATCAATCTCATGTAATTGTTGGTGTATTTGTTTTTGTGGGTCAACTCTCATTGGGTCCATGTCCCACTTGACACAGTTTCGGCATGGATCCCGATCAATATTGAAACTGATTGATGTTCATAACATGGCTCCGAGCAACAATCGAAACACATTAAATGATTCATTCAGTGTATTAATTATGCAAAAAACATTGAAAGAAACGTTCAGCTGAAGCCTTGAACTTACGCGAGACGACGTATGCAAATTACGGTAAATGGAACTCGATGCAGGAATAATACGCTAATTGTCGGATATGAATTTCGTTATTACCTTGTTATTTTTATTGTGAGGTAGTCTTAGCAATATGATTCCCATAGCGAGTAAGGGTCATGCAGATTGTTTTTTGTAAATGGAATTCGATGCAGTAACAATACGCTAATCGTTGCATATTAATTTCGTTATTAATTCGGACTTTGTTTTTTTTTTTCAATTTCGCTTTGAAGTAGTCTTAAGAATGGGATTCTTGAAGTGAGTAAGAGTCATGCAGATTGTTTTCTGTGGTCTCGCATAAGTATTAGACGACGTGGATTCGAATGAACAAGAAGAACAATTGCCATTCCGGATAATCCGTGGATGAGTAAAAACAAACTGTTGTTCTTTTCCTCTTATTTATTAGGATCACGTACGATGGTTCACGATTTCGTGTAAGTATGCATGCGACAAGACACTCACTGATGACTGCATTTCCAAGTTCAATATCACAATTTCTACATCTACATCTTGCAGAATCTATAATATGATTACCCAAAATATGTTTTGCAACTATGATTAATGGGTCATCTGGTTTAAATGAATCATTAGTAGTATATGTGTTTTTTATTCATGCAGATTAGCTTACGTTTTAATTTTTAAGCATAACAAATTATTTCTTCAATTGTTTCTCTTAATCACTTTAGATTTAATACAAAGGATTCATACATAATTCAATGTATTAATCCTAAGTTGTTTCCTTTTTTAAATTCTTATATCGCAATCCGCAAGCTGGCCGAGGGAGTATCATTTTCTGTGGGTGGATAGTCTCTATGGTGATAAGTGGTTAGCAATGTGGCTTCAAACAAAAGGCGATAACAATTGCTAGGCGATGGAAAAGTACACAAAATGAGTTCGATACGAACAAAAAAAAACTGTAATAATAACAATTTACTTCGCATGCATTTCACCAATTAAGACGTCCACTTGGTAGCACGTGCATTAATCATATTCATATCGATGCGTTGCGACATTCCCAGTTAAACAACTAAAACATTTCGTTATATTATCCAATCGCAATAAGATAGAATTATAGAAGTAAATACAGAGAGCTACACTGTGTGTTTGCATTTTTTTTTCCATATGTCAGCTGAAACGGATGCGAGATTGTTCTGGTCTCTCATCAAAGTCCTCTTGACTCGTGAGGTCATCGAAAATTGGTAGAAACTTATATTTAACTCATAAATCAAGTTATTGTGAGACTAGATTACAGTTGTTATGGACTTACCAATTAACGAATCAAGTACACAGATGGGACCATTTATAATGAACGAACTTCTGTGAGCAACTAATAGATTACATTTCTGCACTTTCGAACTAGGTGTTAATGAATCCGCAAAATCCATCTGCGATCCCATTTTGTTGCTTAACTTTCGGTTCGCAATTAGAAAGGACTAGTAATTAAACTTTCATCATTAAAACTACACTTTAGTTCATCGCACGGATCTGTTACCAACGCGGTAAAGAGCAAAGTACAAATATCTTTTAGCATTATCCAAATGCATGCAACGTGACATCAAAATTAACGATTGGTTATTGGAAAAGCTTAAATGCTATTTTTAGAAATACAGTGTATGCTGTAATGGAAATTTCTATTTCGATTAAATCTATTTACGATAGTTTTGTGCACGAGACAATTGAGAAAGAGAAAATGTGCTCTCGCTTATTATTTATAAGCCATGAGATATTTAACGGTTTAATAGAACTCAATAATACCAATGAAGCTTTCAGTTTTACAAAATCAATATACCACTAAAAATGTTCATGCGAATGATAAGTTATTAAAGTAATTTATTGTAAAACTATGAAATATTTTGATATATGTCTTTGAAGTAGATAATCGACGAAATTTATTACATTAATTGTTTAATTAAAGTCTTCTTTGCAGAGGAATGAGTGGAAGGTTAATTACTATGAATGATGGACATTCTTTACGATAGTTGAAGTTTGCTCTTCAAACTTAGATTAGTGAGTGAACTTCTCACGAACTTTTATAATTGGAAAATACTTTTAGATTAACGTTTGAACTATCTAAACATAAACAATCAATAAATGAATAAAAAGAAACAAACATATCAACAGTAATTATTTATTTACAAATTTCTCACATATAGAAATCTTTTTGAAAAATACAGATTTAGGTATGGAAACACTATAAAATTAATTAATAGCAAAATAAAATTATATTAATATAATTAATAATTAATTAATATGTACGATAAAAATAAAGTTGTATAGACATAAATACGAGTTATGATATTCTCATGTAAATAAAGAATTTACTGCGGAAGTGAGAAATTAATGTCATCGACCTGTAGTATTTCAGAATTAACCAGAAGAAAAATGTTAAAAATATAAAAAGGTCATCATACATATCGTGATTCTAGATTCGCAACCGGGGATTTCCTTTTGCACGGGATTAAGTTTTTTACGGAGATTATAATTAAACAGTTTCTTGAATAATGCAACGACGTTTTAATTGAAATAAGACAATTCAAACAATTCTCCAAGCAGATTCAATAGATAACAAATTAGAAGATTTACTAAAAAACATGAATATGAACACGCATTATTTCGGTATGTAATGAAAAAAATCTAGTGATGTAATTTCAAAATTTGAAAGTTAAGTAAAGTTGTAACGATTAGCGGTGATCGGTTTCCTATAAGAACAAACTCAATTGTGAATGTTCGCATAAAATTGCTGAAGAAGAAAACTAGCTAACTTATAAATTGTAATTTATACAAAATGAATGGATTTATACGAGTGATACAAAATAATACTTTTATTGTAATTAAATTCAAATGAGGAATGTTGAGTTCTAATTTATTATTAATTTATAATAATGTATTGGCAACGTATTTTATAAAGCGTGGACTAAGACTTGATAACTATAAACGGGACTTAGAATTCGAAATGTAAAAATAGTATAGATATTCCAAGTCCACTGTTGAACAAAGAAAAGAAAAAACAATTTTCCGTTGACGCACTCGAATACTAATGATTATTTCCTCTTAAGTTTCGATTCGATGTTGATGATTTTTTTAACTAATAAAAGTGGAAATTTTTTATAATCCTGCATTTCTTTTGGAAATCGAAATGTAAATTGAATATTACAGAAGTGACTCATTTTCCGGTCACTTCTACTTATTCGAGGGCAAAAAGGAGGAGGCAGGTTTGTGACGCAACGGCGACGACTGCGGAAAGGTAAGATGAAAGAGGTGGCACATTCGGGCTATGGCAACATGAGTCAACGGCAATTCAAGCATGAGGATGCTCTTGAAAAAGACTCTCACACGCACACATACAAAAGGATGACTCGTTTAGTCGGACCCTTGGATGTCGGGCCTTTTCATCGGGTTACACTTCACTGGAGCCCGTTAATAACACAGCGCACATTCACACACAAACTCCATAAAGTGTTCCCTAATTAAGGAGCAACGACTGTTTTCGATTTAACATATATTCATGACGATTTATGTTTTTGTTTCAGATTTGGTGCAGTGCACAAACGAGCCGAACGTTTCCATACCGCAATTAGCGAATTTATTAATAGAGAGATCCCAGAACGGCAATTGGGTGGTGGTCTACAAGGCGCTTATCACTGCACACCACATGATGTGCTATGGAAACGAGGTAAAAGCATCATCATTACCACATCATCGCCAACGTCTCGTTCGCCAACTCGGAAAGACTAAAGAACTCGTCTGGTCATTAATGCCATTTCATTTTCAAGCCGCGTCCTTGGAATGAATAATCTGAGTTATATAAAACGTTACTTTCTCCTTATGTGGCACAAAATACATACTACACAACACGGGACTTGATATTACATGGTTTACAGAGCGAAAATCAAACAAATGCGAATTCTCTAATAATAGGATAGAAGCCATTGGCTGTTTCCTCCTCTTTCGCAATTGCAGTTGTAAAAGTAAATCCATCAACAGACGCACTTATGTGCCCTATACTAAGTTTACAACAGACTATTATATATTTTGATTCAATTTATTCATTTTCTTCATATCTGAACACTTTTGGAATCGTGTATTGATTTTTTGGAGATAATATTATTGTACATTTTCAATTTGTTATGTAAATAACGTATTTGAAATAATTGTAAGAATAATATAGATTCGAACCTGTTGAATTTAGAACAATTATCGACTGTACCTAAGATATTATGTGCTCACTACGCTGACATTTATGCAACACAAATCGTGTAGTTATTTAACAAAGGAACTGTAATATGCTTTAACGTAAATAATCCTCTTTCTAAAAATTTTCCGGTACACATAATGCTAATGTTCTTAATGTCATTTTACATGCATTCACGTCGAAGTACTTAAAACATTCCAAACGAATTAGTTTTAATTATGTATTCGGGTAAATTATGTAACAAAATAATTACTTTTTACTATTTGTGAGAAACGTGAATTATATTTCCTATAATTAAATATAATCAAACTAATTACCATTTGAACCAGAAGATACTACATTCCATGAATATCAATTAAATCATTAAATATATGCGAATTTTAATGATTATCTATTGATTAATTCGCATGATTAATATGACTATTTAAGTAAAATTTATATAAAATTGCAGTTCCTTCTAAATACTTGGAACCGGTAATTAAGTAGAAGCAAAACTTAATATTGTTTCAACGAAACCAGTTTTCTTAATTATGTACATTGTTATATAACATTGAATCTATTGAGTATTTCAGCCCAGATTGATTGGAATATATTATTATTCCTTACCTTAGGTTACACTGCTACTTTAATTCCATTAATTTATTTGCAAATTCTAAATTATTTAGTTTGACGATGTTAAAATAGACAAGAGATGTATTTAGTAATAGTTAATCGTAGTACACATCAAAACTGCAAATAATTCTTCACAGTCGATTAAATCTAGAATATTTCTTAATGCAAATTTATAAAATAGAAATACTTCTCTATTATTGTCAAGTCACCTTCATCAGGTGTGTGCAATTGTTATTATTATTATATATTTTTTATTCATATTGCAGTTATTACTACACTGATATATATTTTATTAGAACTTCGATTACGCATTTGAATGATTAAAAATGTGTTTAATAAATAATCCCATTTCAAGGATACTGCAATTATACACCACTTTCTGTGTGTATAAATGACATAAATTTTGTGAAAAGAAATCAGCATACGTCCTTTCGATGTTACTCTTTTTATGTTATTGGCTCAGTGGGGAACTGAAAGTGCAAGATGGTGATTTTAATTGGCCTGATTATTTGCTTAATAATTGTAAAAGATTACAACGTGTAAACACCATGTAATTTATTACATATTCGAATACGTGTAATTATATAAATAAAACGTTATCTCTTGCAGTTTGTTATTCTATTTGATGGAGAGAGAACTTTTATTTACGAATAATAAAATAAAATTAAGTTTTCTCAATGTCAATGAAACGATTTTTTAAATTTATCCTTTTTTTTTAATTTTCTAATGTTTATTAAATTGTCATTAATTTTTCAATTGTTTTATTGAGTATTAAATAATAATAATAATAATCTTTATTGTAACAGTCAAAAACAAAATTAAACATAATTATTCACAACAATAATAATAGTAAAACAAAAGATTATCTGTTACAAACGGCTATTGATAAAAATACTAATAATAATGTTTATTGCACCAGTCGTACAAAAACAACCTATACTGAATTAGAAAAAAGAAAATAAATATATATAATTTCAAAAAAGTCAACTGATACAAAGGGATTTTGATGAAAATAATATTATGCGTATTTTATTGAGTACCAAAGTATTGTCTAGTTAAATGATATTAAAATAAAATATAAGCAATAATAAAAGTTAAGCAATATTTATAACGGATAATAATTGGATGGGTAAATTCGGTTCCTGTCTAAACTTGCGATTTATTGATATATGTATATATATATTGTTGTATAAGTTTTCGTGCAACTGTAAATGAGTTATTTAACGATGTTTTATTTTCAGAGGTTCACACAATATTTGGCATCGAGCAACAGTAGTTTTCAACTGAGCAGTTATCTGGACAAAAGTGGAGTGCAAGGTAAATATAGACGAAATGAATTAACGCGGAGTCTGTTTACTTTTACCTGAAGTGGATTTAAACGAAATTCGTTCTGCCAACTAATAACTGGTCGTAATTGATGGTGTCCAAACAGTAATTAACAAAGTTATTTCTAAAGCCAAAACTAACGAGTAAACTTTGCTTCTATACGAAACTAATCCATAACGCATTAACAACACCGATTCTTATAACCCATGGTATATTTATTACATATTCTTTTTTTTGTTTCAAAGGGATGCTGAGTGTTAGAACCGGTGAGTAACTAAGTTTTGCCACCCCCATGCTTTGTAGTCATATTGGTTCTAGCAAAACATTTTGTTGGGTTGCGGTTGTCGCATAAATGATATATGAATTTTGTAGTCTAGTTTCCATTAACTGATTGAAATTCATAACGTTGCCGTTTGGAATTCAGTTAGTTAATTGATAACAAGATTCGATCTTTCTGAAACCTTTATCATCAATACAGAGAACTATAGTTCTTGATTTACTTTCAAAACTTAACAAAGATCGCATGTTGTTTTTTTTAAGACTGTTTAGCTTTTTCTTTTGCCTGGTTTAAGGGATTGTTTAGGTTGTTATTTAGAGCTTAATTTCCATATAAATTTAATGAAGTCGAATTGATTAGATTCTTAATGGTTTATAGGGTACGATATGTCGCCGTTCATCCGAAGATATGCGAAATATTTGAACGCCAAGGCCATGTCGTACAGGACTGTTGCGTTCGATTTTTGCAAGAAGCGAAGGTAAAGTTGCATAACTGATTCAGTTCTTTTTTTAATATTATATTAACTCATTTCTCAGCAACAACGAGGATGGTATGCTGAGGACAATGAACACAGATAAATTACTGAAGACACTGCCTGTGCTTCAAACCCAATTGGACTCGCTGCTCGAGTTTGACTGCTCCCTAAATGACCTGACCAATGGCGTTATATACATGTGCTTTGTACTGCTCTTTAGGGATTTAATTAGACTCTTCGCGTGCTACAACAATGGTATTATTAATTTATTAGGTACGTTTCAAACAAAACAAAGTTAGTGTGTGCATTTTTTTCTAAAAGTTATGGTTTTAAAGAAAAATTCTTCGATATGAATAAGAAACAGGGCAGAGAGGCTTTGGAGATCTACAAGAAATTCCTGATACGGATGGATCGTGTAGGGGAGTTCCTTAAAGTTGCAGAAGTGAGTGGGAGAGTGGGTGATGTGTGGATACATGTAATCTATTTGAGTGCTCTTTCAGAATGTCGGCATCGATAAAGGAGATATTCCGGATCTCACGAAAGTGCCCAGTAGTCTTTTGGAAGCGCTGGAGCAACACCTGGCCGCTCTAGAGGGCAAGAAATCGTCGGCTTCGAGCACTCCCTCACAAAGGTATATCACCACCCTCTGCACCCAATTACATATTGTTTTTGGTTTATTTTATTTTTTACAATTTGATTTAATTTTCTTTTTGTTTTTCTTTCTTTATTCCCACCTCTTTTTTAACACACGTCGCCTTCCCAATAATTTAATCCTACGCATAAAAAACAATGCAACCACTGTAGCAATCAGAAGAATGTCCGATCAGCTGTAACAGCTCTATCTTCCACTAGCTCCAGTTTTGGAACGATCGTGGCAAACGGACGCTTCGATACTCAAAACGGCATCGATGAGAATTTGAAGTTGCAGGTTTTGGCGGAAGAAGAGGCTGCTATGAATCAGTTCAAGGTATTACCGTTTGCTTAATAATATTGTGTTTTAAATTTGATATTCTTTTAGACAAAAGTTCATTCTCCGACAAATTCCATCACGATGAACAATCCGTTTTATGCTAGTAGCAACGGAAGCAACTCATCGGTTGCTACACCCAAAATTCCAGCATCGCCGGCTTTGGATCTCTTCGTTTCTGAAACTCAAGCAGTGCAAAATCAAGCGAGGCCATCGGACGATCTACTGCAATTGAACAATCCATTCGCCGATGCATTTGCACAGCCAACAACAACGAATCCCATGAACGCATTCCAACTGCCGGCGATGATGCAACAGCAGCCCAATAATGTCAACGCATGGGTCACAAATGGAAATGGTAATTATTTCAGTCTACGAATGGACATTAATTGAGTGGAGTTATTTGCAGGCTATTCAACGGCAAGTACTATTCAGCAGACGGCGCAAAACGGAACTTTCGTCTCGGAAAGCAGCTTCCAATCAGTTTTCGGTAATCCCGATGTTAAAAGTAAGTGTGCACTGGGTGCTTGTTTCCGCTTGTTTCTCATACATGATTATCATCACACGTACGTCGCATGCTAATTAATGTGCACACTATTAGCGCCAGTGTCCATCAATATTTTATGCCACGCCCAGCGAAATTGAGAAATTCAATTTTTAATCAATGAACACGTGCTGTTCTCTATCAGTTGAATCAATCGGTGGAGCGGCGGGGCATAAAATCGTTTCATGATTCATTGATTTTATATGTGTACTAATTACGTTTTGTTTCATTCTTTGTAATTAATTTCTGTTCATTGTTTTGTGCAAGCTGCTGAAGGCACTAATACACCCCAGTCTTTCAATCCTTTCCTGGTAGAAGATACCGAACCGTCCCTCATGCTAGATAACGATTCCCCGACCCGGTCGAAGCCTTTGCAAGAGGTGATTAGTTACTTCCAGAAGGATTCCACTATCGAGAACTTGAATTTAACGCCAAGTAACGAGGCTGACGTTAAATCTGATGATAAACTTAGAGTTAACCAAAGTTTGAATCTAGATAGACGGAATTCCGGGAGTAGCGTCAAAGACAGGCCACCGAGACCACCGCCTCCGGTACTAAAGCTTCCCGTCACTCCCGATCCTCCCGCAAAGATCTCTTGCTCCCCAGAAACTAGCTCTACTACTACTTCTACTACTACTACTATGCTCACTGCCAGTGAAGATCTGCCTATTATTTCACAAACCATTGGTAATTTCATTCGTTCTTTGGTATGTTTCATTAATCGATGTGTTGTTTGTTGTTTGTTAATGCGTTCGGTGTGTTGTTTGTTGGTTGTCGCATTGCAGAGGTTTATGTTTGCGGTATTGGGTTCACCTGTGGTTTTCGTTTGTTCTATGGCTGATTCTAGATTCGGGTTTTGATGCACTAGGTGGAGTTTTACAGCCGACCTCTAAACAAGACGGACAATCATCCAACAACAATGCGACGAACATCGGTAACTCAAATAGCCAGTCCTCCAGTGCCTTACTTACCGGCGATTTGGAGTCCAGCTTAGCGTCACTCGCTGAAAATTTGTCCATAAACAGTAGACAAGTTCCAGTCAAGTGAGTTACCATTCAAGCTACCATCCAAGACTAAGTAATATTATAATCGTTGATATTAAATAGGGAGATACAATGGAATTCACCGAAGAACGGTTCAAAAGTAGGTGGCAACTGGACACCTCAGCATATTTCCGCCACTACTTGCGCCGGTTATAAACCAATGAACCAGTCGATGGCAGCCACGCAACAACCATTGGGTCAGCCGAATATGTTTGCAGCCATGCAACCAATAATGGTAATATATTTATAATCCATGGGTTTTCATTGAGTCGAAAGATTCCGTTCTCAGATTTGGCACAATTTTAAATTTACTTCAGACACGCAACACAAAGTTTAATAGCTGTTTACAAATTTTTTAACGCTTACTTTACACGATTCATTTCGTTTCACGAATGCGTTTCAACTTATATTTAAACAAACATAATCAATAACATAATAATATTATAAAAGAAGAAAATTTACTTTTATTATGTAGACCAAGTTACTTGATAAGTAATTTGCGAAATACGGATAGATAGAAGTTCTTTAAAATAGTCTATGAAGTATTGAATCTAATATTTTTGTTTGTTTTAGGGTATGCATCAAATGGTAAACAATCCCATGTTACCACCCAGACAAGGGATGCCAGCTAGGGCAAGCCCGATGAGCCCTCAGCAATCCTTACTTTTCCAATAATTCGTAAAATCTTAAGCAAAATCATCTATTGGATATTTAATGTAAAGGGCACGAATGATGTTTGTTTCTATTTTTAATTTTGTTTTGTATATATTGAGGTGTGCTACAAAGACAGATAGAGAAAAACAAATCGTGTATGTCCCTCTGCTTCAAAGTCTCGTATCTCGAACCAGTAAAAAGACATGGGTACAATCATATACAATACTATTTTCTTTTTCTTATATCAAGTTTCATTTATAAAATTCGATTATTTCTTAATGTTTATTATGTTTCTTGGCCAACATAAGTAATCAACTAGCACTTATTTTTTGAAGTATATGTCAATTGCAAGTGTGTCAATGGTGTTGCATATGTAACCGTTCTAAAGGATAATCATTTATTTTGCTCACCTTGCTTCCGGGGAATTGATGTTTATTTTTTATGGAAGCACGGTGCTGAAATTATGTTACAATATTACATATCATGTAATCTGGGGGAAGTAAATTTGTTTAAAAAAAATATATATGAGAAGAAACAATATATCTATATTAAAGAAATTAAACAAGTACGACAATAAATATGATATCTACTTAATTGTGATGGAAACATGGAAATTATTTATATTCGTACATGAAGTAGTATAATATTGAAAACGTTTATTTACGCCACACAAACTGTGTTTTGTTTTTGGCCTTATTCTCGTTTTTGTTCTACGCCATATGAAATTATTTTGTTATATACGTGTATCTTCAATACTGAATAAATATGCACATGGAGTTTGAAGATTTATTGCATAGCTATTTTTGTATATATTTAAAATGAGAGGAGAACGTAAATGAATTGATAAACAATCAACGTGGTGGACACATTGTTTATCTTATCGTAATCATCATCATTATTATAATTGTAATATCTTGATGCGAATATTAATAAACGATCAGAGGAGGATAACGCTGCGATTATTATTATTATGTTTATTCACTATATTTGTGTACTATTTTCATTTTCTATTTTTTAGTATTATTATTAATTAATTGATATTTAGCATAATATATTTGTATATAGTATATAGTGATTGGTATATTTGCTCTATATTCAGTGTACCATATTATTTCAAAAATAAAGTTAATAAATTATTATTTTATAACGACTCTACAACGTCTTTATTATTTATTTTTTCCACAATCAATAGTTCAAAAGATAATACAACTCAATAAATCGTCTTAAATCTGCCTTAGTGAAGTCCAACACTATTGACTCTAACACATATTTTAAATTATTCAATAATTTACATAGTTTATTGATCGTTTCAACCAGCCTTTTGGATCAATCGTACAATCAATTTTATTAATAATTATGTTTATTGCACTAATTTATACTGCTTGTATACTTTCACAAAACAAAAAGATTTGTCTGAGTTTCACTGCTAAATTACAATTTAAATCATATGTAAATAAATGTCATATTTATTTAAAATATATTGATATGTATAATTTCAGTTATAAATAGTTTTTTGCGAGAATATTTCAATATTAATTTAAAATACAGTGGAAACTCTCTTAACGTGTTTAATCCGTTCCAAAATTTCCGGATTTTTACTCGTATAGTAAAATATATTCAAAAATACAGATAATATGGCAGGTGCACAATCAGGGATTTCTCTTCTCATCGTCACTTGTTATGCGAGACGTCGTTCGTTAAGCGAGTCATTTTTTTACAATTTATTTTGCTCGTTAAGCGAAATGTTTGTTATGCGAGGTTCCACTGTTCAGTATCTAATGATGTCTTATTTATTCCTGTAGTTGCAAACTTTTAATTTTATAGAATAGATTGAATAAGGCTAACAGAAATTATGGATCTAATGTGAAATAAAATACATGAGATTCATATCTTCTTATACATTTGCGGTGATTTTTTTAATTTTCTAAGAAAGATAATAAAAATTGCAATTTTAGAAATGTTTGTGCTAGAATGTAATATTTTCGTTTGCCTTTTTTTAATATATTCACATTTTCCATGTAATGTTTTAATGGTGTATGGGTATGAATGAAGAGTTGTAAAAGTATATAATTAGTATATGTGATTATAGATTTAATTGCTGGAGAGAGAAAGTTGCATTTTTTGTTGTTGTTTAAATGGAATGACAATAAGGAAGTAGTAACTGAATGAATGAATTGAAAACGTACATATATATTGGAATTTATTGTACATATAGAAAGTTATGTTTGTAATTTATTAAACAAAAAGACAATATTTTATGTTATCCTCATCATCTAGACAGATTTTTTACATAAAAATCAAAGAGAGTTGACTGTATATAGGCAAAACCAATCATTTATGTAAAAAAAAATATTTGTACAATTTTGTTGAATTGAAATTTAATTTATTTTGAAATTTTCAAAACGAATCATGATTGATCAAAGCCGTGTGAGTCATTGCTGTATGTTGAAAGATTTCGTTTAAGTACAAAATATTGAAAAAAATAATAAATATTGGGACTTGGATTCATATTTTATAATATATAATATTTATTTCATATAATGTAAAACTATGAAAGGAGACAACATTAATTATTTCATTTCATAATCAATTATTAATAACCTTTTCATATGGCTATTAACCACAAGTCTTTCTGATATTTTGATAGTTATTATCCATGGAAATATATTAATATTGGTAAATTATTTCTAATAACTTGTCTTTATAGTTAATTTGTTTGCATTACCAGGATATAAAATCTATAGGAAAAATACAAAAATAATATGTTTATTCAAAGTTTGCAAAATTTTCTATCATGAAGTACACAATGAAAGATTTGTTTAATGTATATATTGTATACAAGCGTTTCTTAACATTTTTGCAGCGCGACCCAACTTGTTTGCAATTATACTGCGTTCCAAAATAAGTATTCGAGTTTAGTTTTTCGATTTAGGTTTCTTTAACGCTATTCAATCATTACCATCCAGTATTGATGAATTAATTGCAACCGTGTATTGCATGGGACGAAATAGCCGCAGAAAAACTAGACAATATTTTCATTATATAGCAGAAGTGTATAAAATTGACCCATGCTTCATAAAGGAGGCAACGATTACAAGCTTCATCACATGATCAAGGACAAACTGCGTTTGCAGGGAACTTGACCGTCTAGTTCAGAGGTCCCCAAACTTTTTTGTGTCGTAGACCCCTTGCCATGTTTTTCGGTTTTGGGTAGACCCCCTACTTACCTGATATTGATTTTTTTTTGTAAATTTATTATTTATATTGGGACATCTTTATAATTATTAAGATCTTTGCTCTGAGACTGCGCGTATGCTTGTAACAAGATGATACTGGTATATCATTATGTGCAAGTTTTTACAAGTTCAAAATGTATTGCGACCACAAAGCGAATGCCTACATCCTACAACTTACACAATTTTATAAACAAATGTAATTTTTTTTTTTACTTCATAGGTACTTTTATAAATAATGTATATATCTTTATATTATAGTATAATGTAAGTAAATAGGTACTATCAGTGTATGCTGAGATCCACTATTGTGGACCCCCATTTTCATTTCATGGACCCCCAATTTTTTTTTTTGCTGACGTAGACCCCCTGCAGGTTGTCATAGACCCCTGGGGGTGGATATAGACCACTTTGGGAATCACTGGTCTAGTTACTAATTTCTTAAATAGTAGTCATAAGTGTTAATTTTCAAATGTTTTCCATTTTACGTTATTGCATATTTATTTTTGAACGGTGGGAGTACAATTTTTAGTGATTTGTTTCAAGGTGACACCTGTCATATTTAATGCGTCTACATACAACTAAATACAATCTGCTGAATTTCAAAATTTCATCTTTGTCAAGAAATATGTTTTCTAATCTTATATTTTCTAACCTTATTACTTGTTTATTTTATACAGTTCATTCCTTAAAGTAGTTCAAGAATATATTGAGATGAAATTAGTATCTTTAAATGAAACTGTTTTTATTGATTACTTTGTCTACTTGATAAATTTGATTCGCTTTGAAGTGTATACGTTTGTTTCAAAATTAAGAAGTTTTCCAAGATTTTATTTTCGATTCGTTTAAAAACCTTTGATATTGATAACTATTAAGGTCCGAAGTATTGATACATCTGCTTATCATGGATATTTGAATTAATCAATAATAGATATTTTATAATTAATATAACATTCTATTTTATGTAGTTTTTCTATGATTATGAGAATAAAATGAAATAAATTATTAATGTAATCGATACACCCACATCATAAATATTGATCGATATTCGTGTTCTTTTCAACTGAATGACATGACCTTATTCATTTCATAACATGTTAATTTCTTTCTGCAAACTGATTTTGTAATAAGCCGCAATAATTAATTAAGCATATTGAGATCGCATTTCGAAAAACAGGAAGAAATGCGCATGCACCAGTTAATTCATCCAAAAAGTCATCCAGATTAATTAGCCTTGTTATATGATAATGTTAATACGTTATCTCAGCCAGTTGACGTGCAGTTATATATATGTTAATTAATATCAGTTTTGTATGTATCAGATAATATTAATTTGTGCGACATATGTGAATACCGCACTGCTCTGTTTACTTCCACGCAATCAAGATTATTGAACGTCCATTACTTAACACACAATCAATCAATAAAAAAAAGAGTTACACACATACAAACATTATGGCACGACGTACGTCTGAAAACAAACAAAAAATCAATAATGATTATTGAACTGTCAGCAGCAATAACTTTTTAATTGGACGAAATTGATATTTAATTTCTCGAAGAAAACTTTGAGGCGGCCCGAAATAATTAAACGAGTTAATTTAAAAAAAAATATAGTAATAATAATACCAAGCAAAATATACAAGAGTAAATCAATTTCGCGCGACCGAAATGCATGCTAATTACCAAACTAATACCGTTAATTACGCAACCGTTGACGGTTTTATTGATTGACGCCAATGGAAATGGCATTTTAACTGCAAGGCAATCGAGTTAAATGTGAATAATTGAAAGGTAATTAAGAAAAAAATATGGTTTTAATCTCGCGCACGGAATTTGTGCGAAGTGAAACGGATTTTTTTTTAGTGGCTGTACCGACGGGTAATTTTAGATGGAATCGTTCGCAAATATTTCACGGACCTTAAATTGTTGGTCCCTTGATATCGCTATTTACGGCGTCGCCTGCGGGCATTCCATTCAATTGCGACCAGACCGAAAAGGATTCACAAGGATACGGAAGTAATTTCACATCAGTCATTTCTGTACGATTTCACATCGATGTAATTAATTGGAGGATTACTTTTGCTGCAAATATAATATTTTATTCAATAAAATTGTGATGAAGTTTTGATTTACAATTTGCTACCATCTTTTCTCTACAATGTAAGATTTTCTTAAACTAATTTAGCTGTTTCTGTTCTTAAATGAAATTTAAAACTTAATAATAAAACATATCTGGATAAATTTGATGATTCAATTTTGACTTGGAGTAATATCCTGAATTTTACATTGAATAAGTGTATTTATAGATTGTTAAATAATTATAACTATATAGCTAACAGAATTACAAGAACTTTTATTAATTAGAAATGTGAAAGGTGATTTTTTTTAGATGCGAGATTTCAGAAAATTTAATTCTTTTATCACAAAATCCTATATGAATGATTTAGCTTTTTTACTCTGATTAGGGGAAGCCACGATTTATTTGATTTATATATTTTGAATTTGTATAATTAATAAATTCATTTTATATTGATTTGATTATATTTCACTATTTAATCTTCTTGGTTAATATTACGTATGTAGATGATATTTCTAGTGTTTTCTGTTTTGTAGATACGTATCTAAGATGTTTAAAGTTGTATAGATTTTGATTTTCTTGAATTATGATGTAATTGTTGTATTTATTCTATGTTTAGTATTCTATGTTAACAATGTTTTAGATATATTTGCAAATTTCTTGGAAT